TGCAGCTGGTTTTAATATACCCAACTGTTTTTGACAAGGATATATGGGCTGGTCATCCGCCTCGAGACTCAAAGTAACTCCACGGGATTACTACAAAGCTCCTCTAAAGCTCGTCTTATATATTCATTTTGCTGTGAAAATAATAGCGTGCCTGTTAGTTTGACAGAAATAACACTTAGAACAGTGTCAATGACGTGGCGCAACACTTTGAACGTTGAAATTTGCACATTACACCGTGGCTTGTTCAACAACAGCCGGACCCACTTAATGTTTCTGCTGCATCTCATGAATACTGTTCTCATTTTGACAACCGGAGCCTTGTTGTAAATGTGAGCAACACTTCACAGAAACTAAGTGTTAATGACTTTCCCACTCGCTAAGAGGAACTTACTTAAAATTAAGCTGTTGGCGTAAAATTCACTGCTTTTAAAAGGGAGGAGAAAAACTCATTGGGGAAAGAAATACCAGCCATATATTTTCATTCGATGAGGTTGTAAAGATTCTCAGTAATTGCACTGGTAGAAAGCCTACTGGTTGTATCTGCCAAAGGTTATTCGTTTGTTTTGCATTAAAAGAGTAAAATCTTTTAAAGGAGGGTCAGTTAGAGTCTGGAGAGGTCTATAACTAAAAGGACAGTGGTGATGATCCAGGATACTCAACATTTATGGACATGTATCAACACTTCTGGACATTGGTCATCTGTCTCTTACGGACCAATACCAATGTGTTTTCTGTTCTCTTTCTTGTGTTGGAACGGTTTGATTCTCTAAGTCAGGTGTCTCCAACCTTTTCCACCCAGAGAGCTACTTCCCGGGACGATAACGGCAGAGAGCTACTCTTTTAAGCAACCCTGGGTAAAAATTAGTGATATGTTGGTGTGAATAAGCCTGATATTGGGTGCATTCAGTATTTATCATTGCATATTTCTTACTAGTGCACAAAGTAAGTGCCTTTACAATAATAAATAATGGTAATCCATCCATCCAACCATCCATTTTCTACCCTTTCATCCATTTCTGGGTCAGGGGGGTGGCAATCAGAGCTGCCACCCAAGTCTCATAGCACCAGCCCCTCACTGACCCTCTGCAGGTGGTGAGTCCACAGGAGGACGGCTGCTCTCTGAGTGTGAGCATAGCCTTGATCTTTCAGTGGGGGCTTTGGGGAAAGTGGGGTTAAGTGTCTTGCCCAAGGACACAACGACAGCAGTCATCAGTGGGAGTCGGTGGAGAAGGTGTAGAGGTAATGAGTAATACAATTTGAAATATCCTGTATATTATTTAATTTGTTCTTTTCTAAATCCTTTGGCGAGCTACCTGGAAGGGGGTGGCGAGCTACTGGTGGCTCCCGAGCTACAGGATGGAGACCCCTGCTCTAAGTTCTCTGAGATAACTACTGTTGTGAATTAAGGCTATAATTAGTGATACAAGAGGGTAGCGACCGACAGTGATGATCCAGGACATGTATGGACGTTGGTCATGCATGCAATTATTAAACAACCAATGGTTTGTTTAATAATTGCATTTCCTACTTTGTAATTGTTGGATCTGTTGTTGGCGAATTGACAAGTTTGTAAAGATCTCCAAGACGACTGCTGGTTTAGGGCTCTACAAAAATGCATGGAATTTAATTGAAATAATGCATTTTTTGGCACATATTTACTGTATATAATTGGATATGTACATTGCATCATTCTGTTAGTTCATATGGGAAGGCGCAAAAGCAGGGTGGCATGGTAAGTTTTTCTGATTCAACTCACTATGCCGCATGTTTATTTCATAATTCATATAGATATACAAATTCTGCTATTGTGTTCGACCTGCTTGATGTCAAAGGTTCAAATATTCCTGCTCCACTGTTTTTCTTTGATGCGCGGTAAGATCGATGGGAGTGCTCCAAAGATAACTGATCCTCTGGAGTGCTGATGCTTTTACGGCCTGAGCTTCTGTTGTTAGTTTCACTGCATCGTTGTGGCTCGTTTTCTATAATGCCCCTGTGCGCCAACATCTGGTTCAGTGTTTTATACATTACGGTGGATGATTTCCAGACCTAATGTCATTCTGTCTGTTCACCATGTTTCCATAAGCTCAATTTAACTTGAATCTTGGATCGCCATGATTGAAATCAGTCGTTTTGTGAGCGGTAAAGAGAGATGAGGTAAGGTATACTTCTATTGTCTCGTTCATTTGACCCATCCTTCAATGAAACCTGTCAGAAGCAGTGGTCGCTAAGGGTCCAGTTTGGTCAGGACTCCATTCATTCTGACCAAAGTCCAAAGTCCTCCTTTTCAGCCCCATAATTGGTGTCTCCAGATATGAATGCTTATGATCGAGATTAAGAAACGCTTTTGAGACCCTTGGATTGCCATTTTCCTTTAATTGGATTTTTGGCACAGCCCTGAATACACTAGCCTGGTCGTACCACACTATAGTACAAATGACATTTCGTACTAAGGTCTGGAGGTGCTCCATTGAGCTCCGTTTACAGATAGGAGGGGTTAACTCCTTTTGCAGATTGAAACAATTGGATCTGAGTTTACTGTGACGTATGCAATGCGCCCGAGTCTGTTGTTAGCATTTAGCATTTAGCCTAGCCATCTCCATTGCCGCTAACGGAGTCCGTGGGGAGTAGCACCACAATTTTTCCAGCGATTACATTTGCGAAACATCCCTATTGCTGCGGCTTCAATTTCTTGATAGAACCAGACTGGATTACTTTACTATCACATTTTTCGCCATTGCCAAACTACGACCTTCCTGTTCGACGCAAACTCTTGACGTCAACCACAACTAACTACAACACCCGCCTTCCGCGCTCTCTGTATGGTTGGTCAAAATTCAACCGATTGCAATCGCTAAAACAGGGACCAGACCCAGACGTTACATGCAGCGAAATGATGATTGAACGGAGTGTACGGATGGCTAAGGCCAGGCTATGAATACACTACTAAAAATGTCTTGCACTTTTTCCATGACTTATTTGACACCACTCAGACTTTTTGCTATGAAATGTAAGCGGAACTGACTAGCACTTAATGCCATGTTGGATCTTTTGGGACCTCCTAGTGTCCAGGGGTTGCTATAGGGTCTGGGAGATGTTGGCCAGTTGTCTGTACTCCTGTCATGCTGAGTTCCCTGCTTTCCCCTGGTCCTTTTTGATTTTTTTTCTCGCCTCAGACTTAACAGGCTTCTCTTGGCCGGCAAGAAGATGACATTTTTTGACTTTGTCTATTTGGAGCTGTCCATAGCAAGAGTACAGGGCTTTACGAAGAGTCCCATTCGCTTAGCAATGCAAACCAACTGAAGTCAACATTCTGTTTGGTTTGAGTTGAACCATTTTTCTTATTAGAATTTGGCTGTTTCTGTCCTGGATCTGGTGTGTGTATGTGTGTGGTTTACATCTAAGTTCTCTTTTCTGGAAGAAAAAAACTATTGCCCCCTATGCAAAGTAATAGCTGACTGACATGAGTGGGTTGGTGAAAAAATGGGGAAATGACCAACTCTGTGTGCAATCTGCTGCTGTGTTTTAGGTAAAGTTGCAGGCAGAGGATGACCCTTAATCACAGTCTGCTTGAAAATAATTACAAGTTTTGCATTCCTGGCACTGGTTTGTGCAGCGGGCCATAACTCGTATTGTTGTTTTGTGTGAGACAGTGCATGTAACCCACAGGCAATGTATGTATGTGCCCAGTTTATGGCAGGTACAAATTATTTATGCATTTGCAAAGCTTTATTTATGGTAAAACGGATTTGTTTCAGAACTGCTCTTCTCTCAGGAGTATATCGCAGCATGGCAGAAAGTAAACAACAATCTTCTACTTGTCTCCAGAAAGCTCCATGGGGAGGTGGAAGTGGTAACAAAGGCCTCATATATTCCAGGCTTGGCATTTCGCTCAAACATCAAACCAACCTGACTTCAATCACGTCTAAGTTAAGCGGGTCATAAGAGTGAACATGATAACCACAGGGCTAACTTTGTAGACGTCAAGGCTCCATCCTCCCCCTCTTTAGCCTCTCCAAGTTCACCTCTTAACTGTATTTTAGGAAGAACATACTTACATGTGATGTGAGACGCAGATGGGCAGATCGTAGATCGCAGACACAACTGATGCCAATCTATATAATCCCCAGGCAAGTGGAAGTTTTGGGAAATTGACTTCACAAAATTCAATAGAAATGTTTTCAAATGGACTGGAAATACAAGTAATTGTGGTGGAGATAAATCACGATGTATTTTGTATAATCTTTCAAAGAATGAATCTGTTTGTCTGGTGATAGAATCTTCTTGGCAAAAGTTCGTTTCAGGACTATACACCCCGCAGCCACAGTTACACAAACAGTGTTTGTTTTTATGTAACAAAATGAACATCGTTTAGGCTTATTACCCTGGCTTTTATTTCAATTTAGGAAATATTCCTCTTGTGTAAGTGTTTTCCATACCATAAATGCAACAAAGTGCTTTACAGTAGATTAACAACAATGCCCATTGACACGTTAACCTACCCGACAGACACACCCAAAATAACCGACAGAAAGAACACACACACACACATATATTAAATATATATAAATATTAAAACCATGGAAAACATGAGGCTGAGTGCAGGTGTAACCAGCTAAGGAAGCACCATCCGAGGAGCCATCTGCATCAGGAGCAGAGAGCCGCATGTTCTCCAGACCTCCATCAGGTCCAAGAGCCAGACCCCCAGAGCACCCAGTGCAGAGGGCTCCTACAGCGGGAACACTGGAGATACTAAAACAAAACAATGAAAAGTAAAACTATAACTGAAATCATAGAGTGTATCAAACATCCGCTAAAAATGGGTTGTACACAATGCTATTTAAATGATCCCTCTGTCTTTTATCAAGTTTAAACCATTTTACAAAAGATGTCTACAATAACATAATTCAATTCTTGCTCCCATTTGCCTGTTATTAAATGATACTAATGGCATACCAGACTGTAGCAGTGGTTGCATTGCCTGTTTACGCACAAAGGACCTGATGCCTTCAGATCGCTCTGCTCAGCTCTTTATAGACATGCACGCTCCTCCTCTGCACATAAGGTTGGAAATATGTGTCCTCATGATTGGGAATAGTGTTAACAAATCAGATCAAGCCCTCGTACATTGATTGCTCTGGTCTCGTCCCGTCTTCATTTTTCAACAGCTGCTGCCACACACACACATACATACACACACACACATGCACGCACACGCACACACGCACGCGTACACGCAGAGGCACAGGCTCCGCGCAGTGCAGCCCAGTGTCTCCAGCGTTGCACACGGAGAGCAGCTCATTGCAGGAGCGCGCTGCGTTTTCCCCCCGTTTTTCTCAATATCGACGCGGACTATTCTGGATAATCTTTACGCGCGACATCCAATGGACAAAGACAAAACGCATCGCTGTTAATGGATATGTATTTTGTTGCATTTCTGCTCCAGTTTACGTGTTAAAGGGGAGTCGGCTGGACGATCTTTCAAGCGTCCGCCTTGGAGTCGTACCCTCGCTGCCGTCGCTTCAAAGAACCCTCCGTGCTTTTTTTTTTTTGGCCAGGAGAGAGAAAAGAAACCACCTCCAGAACTTTTGTGAAGTGAAAGAAACTGCGTTGCTAGAGTATTTTCCTCACACAGGAGATCACCTTTCTTTCTACTAAAAGACGCAGGAAAAGATTGTTGAATAAGCAGCGACTTATTGTTCTGGCAGGTTGTGCGTTATTCTATTCCCGACGCGTTGAACTCACGGCTGTCCGGTGTTGGATTTAACCCCACAATAAGGCTGGCGTCGCTGTTTTTGTGATTGCTTTATTTCCGCGGACTAAGCGACGATGTGGATTTCTTTGGTGTACAGGATGCATCCATTACATCGGTAAGAATTCTAATCTCATACATACATTTTTGTTTTTTTGGATTCCTTTGTGTTTTTGCATTGAACATAGAAGGCTTTTGCGTCTCATTCTGTCGCCCGAGGATATGTGATGTATTGGAGAGAGGACTGGCTGCGTTCTGTGAAAGCAGTCTCCGAGATGGCAGACGCATTTTCTCTTCCAGTCAAAGCGCCTGGTCAAAGTATAGAGAGTATAGACTAGAGTATAGCCACGGCTTGAATAATAACACCCTCTCCTTATGCATTCTCTATATATTTATAATTATACACCCTAGTGCGTTTTGCCAAATCTGCTTGTGGAAGAAAAATGCAGAAATCTCCAGTGCGTAAAAGCGTAAATCCTCTTGCAAACGTCGGGTCAACTGCTCGTTTATGTCCCGCTGTAATATCTTAATCTTTGTCACACGTCTGTGCACATTATTGCAGCCTAACGTCGTCTGTGGTTATGGACTTTTAAAATCCGCTAAACGGGACAATCCGAGCGCGCACTGTGTGTAACCTCTCAGCCACGGGAGGAGCTGTTTAATTAGGTTTCCTTCCCCCGTGCGCCCGACAATCTCACCCATCAAGGTCAGGCAAGGATCACATGTCGCCTCTCAATATTAGTTCAACACTTAGGCCTCATATGACACGAAGCTGCCACAGTGTCGTGATGGAGCTGCACCCAAAAGAATACCTTCTCTATTATAGGGAGAAGTTATTTTAGATACATGAGTCCTGAGGGGCAAAAAAAAATCACAAAAAGTGCCTAAAATAATAGTAATAATAATAATACAAAAATAATAATGATAATCCTATAGGGGACACGTTGCCAGCTTAATGTGGTTTGCCCTACTTTGTGCTCTCTCTGGGTATTACTGTAATATTTCCATAGGGACTTGAGGCTGTTTCATTTTAAGCCGTGCTATATGCAAATATAAGTGGTGATTTTACATTGGTAGTCCTCTCCATCTTAAATATCTTACTTTATTATGGCACGCTAACATTGGCTGTATTTGAAAATGTTTGCTAAGCTGTTGACACATTGGTAAATTGATTGAAATTGAACGTTATCGAATCCAATACAATCACAAAGTTAGTGTTTGCTATTGTGTGCATTCATGATATTTATTTGTTATCTTATTTACAATTGAGTCAGAGAAGAAAATTTGAATTATAGAAGACTTATGACAGAAGATTATGACACACAAAATATTTTGAATGTTAAATTTTACCGCGACTCGTCTGCAGAAAAGTTATCAAGTTCTCTGCATAGCCCTGTAACTGATCTGGTCAGTAAAAAAGGCTCCATAAAACATCTTCAGTCCATTATCTCATTTATCGCCTGTTCGTTCTGGATCTGTTTTGCTTATGCACTGCTGTGACACTGAGTGAGCGGATACCTACCTCTAACCACACACCTACATATTAAAATACATATATTTCCTCTCTCCTCCGGCACCTATATCTGTAAACTACTGCAGATGGAGCTTCGGGATTAGCTTGCAAAAACCTCTCTTATTCCTATCTTCAAAAGCCCATTTATCTTGAGCGGGGAACGGCGATAAGAAACAGGCCTGCTTGGCAAATGTGATAAGAGGGTGAAAAATCCTCCAGCGATTTGTAATGTTAGAGTTGAAGCAGATCACAGCTGGGGGAAAGACATGACAAGCCCAGCATCATGAGACTAATACCTTGTGCCCCCTGAAGCCTGGATAGGAGATAGCAGGAGAAATGGAGATTTATTCAGGATGTGTGCGTGAGCTCACCGTTGCAAAATAAGCCAAAAAGTCAGCCAAGGAAATCGGTAAAACTGGCAAAATTAGAATATTATTCAAAAGTTTATTTATTTCGGCAATTCAACTTCAAATGTGAAACCAATATATGATATAGTCACATATCTGGGCTTTGTTTGATTTCATTCTGATGATAACCAGTTTTTAGAAGCTGTGAGCCAATTATAAACGTTATAATAACTAAGGGCTTGATACATCTCCCTTTGTGTGTAGGTTATTTATTAGTTTCACATTGGAAGTAAATGGACCACTAGGCTTCAAGTTTCACCTGTAGAGCAACGGTTTGGATACAGCATTGCAACGCGATAAAATATTGCCGTATCTACTTCAATCCTTCTTGTAGAGGAATAGCCACAAAAAAAATGTTGGCAGTGAACTATTTGTGTTGACGGATTCATGGTCAAAGCTGTTTTGAAGGAAGAACATGGCTTGAAAGTGCTGTGATTCTCAATCTTTACCTGACTAAAAAGTAGAGCTAATCCAAATTGGCTTTTACTACTGAGATTTAAGCTGCCCTCCGCAAGCAATTCCCAAGAAACATGGAAGAGGGTTTATTGCTGCTCTGCAAAACAAATCATTTTGTTGGCCTGGTTACTGCTCGAAGTGCTAACAGTAACCCTATACTTGCAGAAATCCGTATGTGTGCTTAAAAAACATATTCAAGATGTTCCTACGAATGGGTCACTTTAAACCAGGGGTGCCCAAACCTTTTGCTTCCAAGGGCCAAAGTAAAAATTTGCCAGTGGGCCGCGGGCCAAATACACCATGATTATGCATGAAACACAAATAAATGTAGATTTGATCAAGTTCTTTTAAATGCATTAATTATTGTCTATCAGTGCAAATCACAGCTGAATGAATTAAATCAACACAGTCTTAGTGAAGTGGAGGCTCCAGGGATATATGCAGGTTTGAGGAGTAGTAATAGGGTCCAGAGGAGGGAGATTTTCTGTCATGGCTTATTTAAAGGTTAAAATCATATAATAAAACCTCAAAAAGAGAACAGAAACATACATTTTGTGTGCACCATGTGCACTTGTATATTGTAAATAGTAACTAACTCTATTTTAAATTTAAATTTATTCCTTAGAAGTGTTTTTTATTCTTTTTTTATTATCTCTGTTGCACTGAGCCAAAGCAATTTCCAAGTCTATTTTCATATATTTATTTTGAACAAAAGTTTTTAACTACATTTGAATCATATTACTTTATCTTAGCTTTTATCAAAAAGGGGAGACATCACTGATCAATAGATCTGGTTTTAGCACACTTTTAAACAATACATTTTAACATTAAGTAATGAATTTGGGAACATAATTGCTAACTGCATTTTCTAAACATGATCAGGTTTTAACTCTGTTTTAACATAGGACAAGTATTCTCAATTAGTAGTGAACTGAATATTAAACTAACAAAATCAGACTAGTTAACCATGATTTTTTCCTGGAGTTTTGTTTTGTTTTGCCTAAACACAGTACAACATTTATAAATAATCAAAACAAAGTAACTGTTAAAGAGTCCGAGTTTCCGCTCCTCCAAAGGGCTCTTGAACGCATCATAAAACTCCGCGTAAGTTCTGACATTCAATGATCGCGAGTGAGGACGGCGCTTACCGGCTTCTTTCATGGGGTTGTAGAAGAGTTTGTTTTGCACAGTATTTGTTGCTTCTACTTACGTGGATCGTGCGCTGCGATCCCTGCTTGTCCTGCTTGAACTCACTCTGAAGTGTTTGTGTCCGTCCTTTTTAACACACCGGGTGGGTGCGGATTGCGCAGGTGAATAGTTCCACTCACCATTTCCCTCCGGTGAGGAGGGGGAGTGGCAGTTCGCCAGCACAATCCTCTCAATTTGATAAAACATTAAATAGCTCCAAAAAATAATAATAGTAGGCTGAAAAAAAACATAAATGGGCCTTGCACCCAATTGTTTTGAAAGATGTGTTCGATTTTAAAAAACATTTTAGTGCAAGTTGATGTGAACCATGATTGAGGAGTGTATCTCGATACAACACTTAAGTACTGGACAGTCGTAATTCAGAGGGCAACTATGCGTCCGCGCAACCTCAGACATGTCACTGTTCAGCGATTCAGCGAGGCTGAGAGACGCAGATAGAAACTTATAGCGGAGGTGGGCAATGTTTGGCGGGCCAACTGAAATGATCTGGCGGGCCAACTTTGGCCCGCGGGCCCCACTTTGGGCACCCCTGCTTTAAACGTTATGTTCCAAAACCACACTACATTTTAGCATTTTAGAGTTTTCAGGCAAGTTAGTTTGTGGTTCCATCCCAAGGTTAAAATCCCAGAACAGAAACTACAGAAATGTCCATGAATGCACTCTGAAAGCATCGCTGTTCCACAATAGAGTATATTATGTTTGTTCTTATGGAAAATGCATGGTTCCAGGAGCAGGTAGTTCTCTTGGTCTCAGAGTTATAGGCCACATGGGAGGTGGTCTGTTCTGACGACGTGTCATTATGTATAACAGATGACACTGAACATGCAATGTTATTCATACTTCAAGGACACTCCCTGAGCTCCCACATTTGTGGATCCACCGTGGGAGATGAAGAATTTATGCTTGTCTCTGTGGCACTTGGATCTACGTCTTAATCCTGTCAGGGGACCTACCATAAAACACTTGCTCTGCACCAAACACTCATAGAGTTTTTCACAGACGATGTAGCTGCTGTGGAGTGAGGCATTTGGCAAGCAACTGCTAATGCATGTTGCAGAAGTGTCTGTGTTTAATATTTCAGTTTTATATATAAAAACACAGACCGCACAAGGCCAGTGACTGTAATGGGACAGGGAGGTGTTGGCAAAACAGAATATATTTTTTCTTCCTATTTTATTGCAGTTCCTTCAGTGCTGGCTGTGTTATTAACTGCATTGGACGGTGAGAGATTTATGTGCAAGTCCAAATAGAACTGGTGACCTTTCCTGTGGCGTTAGCAGCTCTCAAACCAGCGCACAATGGACTGCCTCCACAGAGAGACGTGTCTTTGTGTCCCTTGTCTCTCCATATCTGATGTTATTTTCTAAATGTGAGCAGCCAGCGACTTTCTTTTCCTTTCTTTCTGAATGTGTCTCTGAGCTCAAAATGTCAACTGAGTGATGCACAAAGCAGTGTCCGGAGCTCTTTGAATACCTTGCGGTGCCATCGAAGTCATAGGTTAGCAGTTACTCAGTGGCTAATGTGTTCTGTGGC